GTAGCAAAACACAACAATGTCATGTAATCAGTACAAAAACAGACTGTCTGAAAACTGGCAATACAGAAACCAGTAAATGCACATCTTAGCTGCAATTAGTAAACAAAGAGAAAGATTTGCATTGGTGTCCTGAAATAATGCTAGTTGTAAGGTAGGCTCATAAAAGGCAATGCAATAGAAAATATGCAACAAAATACTAAAAACATTCGAGTCAACTTTGAACTTTCTAATTCAGTTATACCCCATGCCTTTTCATTTATTCTTCCATAAATATTTTTAATAACTATTTTTAGCTGCGTTTTTTGTAAAGCTTGCTTGGTTGTTATGTTTTATTTTATTGTATTTTTTAAATAATTAAATATAGGTCTCGTTTCATCAACTTATTTTAAAACTAAATATTTCTTGGTTGCTCCACTACTTTTCACACCTGTGTTGCTAAATTATAACTAATTATCTCTTCTTGAAATCAGTTTTATTAACCTATTTTAAAAAATTTTTCCAGTGTAACTATTTGCTAATTTTTCTCTATCCATCTATTTTCCATGGCACCACAGTGAGCAATGTCATTTAGGAACAACGGTAACAGACCCAGAGGTCGACCACACAGAAGATGGACTACAGAAATATCAGAGATACTGAAAAGTACTTTGTGCCAAGCAGAAGGGCCTGTTACAGAGATCTCTTCCCGCCCTTAGGCATTCCAGGAGTTTAGAAGAAGATCTATTTACCAACCTCTCCCTAATCCTCTATTATCAAACTTTCTCCATCAAAATATATACAAATGTTTATCTATAAATCTATTTACCAAACTTTGCCTAAACATCTATTTACCAAACTCAATTCATCCAAAGGTAACACTAGTCTTTCTCTATCCCCATATTTACCAAACTTTCTCCATCAGTCTATTTCTCCATCCATACCAGACTTTCTCCGTCCATCTATTTACACAACTGTCTCTAATTGTTTTTCTATTCTTAAATAAACTTAACTCTACTATGAAGTGTTTCTTTAGTTTTTCTGCCTTACAAACTCTAAACACAAAATTACTGACATTATACTGTTTACTACACTACCATTTTCTTGTTTAATTTACATTTGTCACCCTCTATCTCATATTTCAAGACAATTTTTGTCTGTTTTTGGTATCTCCTTTTAACTATAGTTCCACCTTATAGTTTACATTTATTTCTCAACATTCTGTCAAGACTCTTTCTGTGAGTATTTCAATTATATGTGTATCTTTTATTTCATATACATTTGCCAGCTTCTGTCTCTTTATTCAAAATGTTTATGTTTCCTGATTGCTTCACTACCCTCCTGAACCTGAGTAGCACAATTTTAATCAGTCTTTGTCAATAACAAAGTTCCACAACTCCAAGAGCTCCTCTGTGCATAAAACTCCGAAAAAAAGAGGAAAACTATCACACAGCTAGAAGGTGAGTGGGGTAAGAAGACAAATCCTTTTGTCTTTTATCTACCCCACCACCATCTCCTCATCATATTTACTCCCTCACTCCCAAGCAATCACAGTCTGTGAGTGACACCATCCTTTGATTTCCCTTCATAGCATCACATGATTTCTTATGTTTAGTATTTAGTCAGAACAAACTAAAGAAATCTGGCTTCTCCAATGTAATCCCACTGTGCATATTGCCACCTGGAAAGTATCGTTTTCATGCTATTATACCATGGTTAATTCTTCACTTTGGCAACCCCCTGTGAAACATCCTTATCCTAAAAGTACTAAATGTTCAGTATGATTAGCTCTCTTTGGTGTAAAACTCACACACGTGCCCTTTAGGTTCTCGCACAAGCCTTCAGTGGCACTACAGAACACCTACCACATCAATTTAATCTGACTACCTGATCTATGTTCCTCATTTATTACAACACCAAAGTCAAATCAATAAAAAGGTCTCATTGTTAAATATTATGCAGTAATTGTAGTATAATACATCCACTTTTTCTTGGTATAATCAAAAATAAAAATAAAAATTCTCATATGATTTAACAAACATAATATAGTGAATTCAAATTTGGCATGGCAGTTTTCAATTACCTGGTATATTATTGGTAAGCTATTTTGGAAGGTATGATGCCTGATTTCCTTATTTTCTAGGATCCCAACCATCATGCAACTATGTTTTATTTCACTTTCTACATTTGATCAGAGCAAATTTAAAAAATCTGGCTTCCCCTACGGTAGGCTGCCCTTGTGTTACTATGACCAAAGAAGAGAAGCAAAGAATAGTAGCAGTGTAACCCATTTGCAGGTTGATGAAGATAAATAACTACGGATGACTGGCACTCAGCACCATCTTCTGGGCTCCAGTATTGTGGAGAGGTAGATCAGAAAAGAGGAGAGGGGGAGAAGAAACGAAGGTAATAAACTTGCACTGGCATCTTACTAGAAATTATACATACAGTAAGTGTAGAAACAGAATGAAAGTTATAAGTGTGGAGTTAAAGTAGTGAAGATACAATAGACACTATCCCCCTATGTGGAAGGAAACAAGAATAGACTCCCGGCCCCCCTCCCCCCTCCTCCACTAACATTCTGACTAACTGTGGGCTTCCTTCAAAGTTGGAGTGCATCTGCATCTCCCTCTGCCTCTCCTAATTTCCAAATGTCTTAATGTACTCCAGTTGTTTCCTTCTCATCACATGACCAAAGAATGTAGATTGTCTTTTTCTGATGTGGGCAATCAGTTCTCTTTGTGAGTCAGTGTTTTCCAAGATGTCTGCATTAGTCTTGTTATCTGTCCAGGGTAGTCCTATCACTCGTCTATAAAACCACATCTCCGCAGCTACCAAATGAGTTTTCACTAATTTACCAACTGTCCATGATTCACTTCTATTCTATCCTGTGAAAATCAATTGAATATAAAGGGGGATATCCAGTCCAGCCCCTTTGGCCTTTCTCATCAATGTCTATTTTAAGGTTTATTATGGTCATCCTCACTTCCTCAATCCATTTATTTCCGCAGAAACATAATTTTCATGACCATTAGATCTTTCTCAGCTTGTCAAGTGGCTGTTCAAGTTTCACACAAATACAATAGCATAGGCATAACAGTCCCTTAAGGGAGTCGCTGGTGTAGTGGCTAGATGCTTGCCTGAGGATCTAAATGTCATGGGTTCGAATTCTAGTGGAGCCGGGTTGTCTTCAAAATTGACCTCAGCTCCCAGGTTAACCCAACCTTGAGTCGTTTTTTGACTTAACACAAGCATAACTTACACACACACACACACTAAAGTAAGCGAGCCATTTCACACAGAAACAAACTAGACAACCTCTGAGGGCAAAAGATGTCTTCAGTTGACTATATCCAATACAAAAGTTAAACTGAAAAAACTTTACAGGAGGCACAGAACTGTTCAATTCATTCCCTTATAAATACTTTACAAAATCAGAAGCAAAAACATTTAAAATCAACATGTTAATATAATCTAAAAATGGCCTACACAAGACAGTTCTGTTGCCTTTTAATAACTCTTGCAGCTCCAAAGACAACTTTATGTGTGACAAACCATTGTCTTTGGACCCAAACCATCACATACTGTGATCTCTAGCTTTTTTTTTTCCTTTGACCTCAACATACTTAAGAAATCTGGTATTCCCAATGACCAGTTCTGCTGTAAATTATGTCCCTTGGGGGAAAGGAGGAAGGTGGGGGGGGGGGGGGGGGGGGGGGGGGTTTTGTTGATGATTACTTCTTGGGCGACTGATAAAAACTTTGAGACACTGAATTAACTATCAAGTAACTAGCAACCTGTTTGTTGGTTTGAAGTGACATAATATACTTTTCTGAATTCTTTTTTACCTGCCTAATTGTTGATATCTTTACTGCAGGTATAATGTGTGTGGGTGCATGAGTGTGTGTGTGTGTAAGTATGTAAATATTTATGAGTGTCTGTGTGTGTGTATGTATGGGTATTAAAAACTATATGTGTATGTGCACATGTGTATGTCTGCATGTGTATGATTGGGTATATATGATGTATGTATGTAAGTATGAGTGTGTGTATTCACATGTGCGTACAGATGTGTGGGTATTATGACAGCATTTGTATGGGTACTATGAGAGTCTATGTAAGTGTATGAATATGTGTGTGTAAGAATGCATGTGTGAGTGAGTGAGTGTGTGTGTGTGTGTGTGTGTGCGTATATAAGTGCAGTTTAAAACATGAGTGATTGAAAGGGCTGCATGTAAGACAGGTCTGCATGCCCAATTTGTGGCCCTTTCAAATCAATTTCTTTGTTCATTTATATACTATTTTTAGTGGTGTAAAAAAAAAGGGGGAGACAGTGACACATAAGCCTGAGGAGAGGGTTAAAGGTAGCACAGTCCCGACAGACTGTGCAGGTGAGGATTTTTTTTTTGCCCTCAACAGAAAAAAATTCTCCATCCAATACTCAAACACGAGAGCCTAGTGTCAGCCAGTCTACTTAGCCAGTCGCTTTTTTTTTTCAACTGCTACACTCACCCACCTGGTCCCAATACTATACTTCCTGTTACCAGTGCTTATTTCTGGCACATTTTTGTTTAAGCTTTCATTTTTTGGCCGTGTTTTTGTAACAGATATTTGAGCTGGATACCAACACCCTTTTTTTTAGATACTTTGTGGTGAGTGCCGGCTTCTTTTTCTTAATTTTGAAAATGTAAAAAAAAATTTTTAAAAAGGCCTCTCAATAACTACTCTTTCCCTCAGTGTTTGCTTCTAATTCCTCAGATAGAAACTTTCATAACTCAAAGTAACAAATTCTTAGTATAGAATAAAGCTGAAGTCACGCCTGCTTGGTACTAGACAAGTTAAGCATTTGTCCTCTAATGAACCCTTCTAATTGCCTGATAGGAACTACAAACCGTAAATTTAAAATTAAAAAAAAAGCTACACGAATTAACTGCCTTGATTGAACAGACCAAATGGCAACTTAACCGTAAATGTTGAGTCTGGTTTTTGATTTATTTGTAAACTTTTTTAAATGTCACCAGAGATCATGACTCAATGATGTCTAACCGGTTTCCTTTTCTGGATATTTTCACGCTTCCATTGGCCGCATCTCCCTGGGTTTTCTTGAAGGACACTTCCACAGTTGACCCCTTGAATTCTGCATTCAGGCTGGTGAAGAAAAAAGATGGATGGTACAATGAGAAATGGTGAATGGTACAAAGAGAAATGGTGAATGGTACAATGAGAAAAGGTAATGGTATAATGAGAAAAAGTGAATGGTATAATGGGGAAAACAGTGAATGGTATAATAAAAAAAAAAGGTGAATAGTATAATGAACAAATGAGAGAATGAACACACAAACTTTATTTTCAAAGGGTTACAAATAATTAAAAAAGGTGAATGGTATAACTTAGATAAAACATGTGCATCACCACAGAGGAAACATTAAGGGTTTTGGGTCTGGGGGCGAGGGGGGCACTCAATGGGAGATTGGTTTATTTTTGCAATAATAATTATTATTAATAATATTATGAAAAGTGTAATCTGGAATATAAATGAGAAAAGGTGAAATGAGAAAAAGTGAATTGTTTAATGCAAAAATGTGAATGGTATACCAAGAAAAAAGTGAACAATATAATGAAAAAAGGTGAAAAGTATAATGATGAAAGAAGAATGGTATGTCACAAAAATGGTTAATGACAAAATAAAAAAGGTGAATGGTAGAATAAAAACAGATGAAAGGTATAATGAAAAAAAGTGAATGGTATAATGGGGAAAACAGTGAATGGTATAATAAAAAAAAGGTGAATAGTATAATGAACAAATGAGAGAATGAACACACAAACTTTATTTTCAAAGGGTTACAAATAATTAAAAAAGGTGAATGGTATAACTTAGATAAAACAGGTGCATCACCACAGAGGAAACATTAAGGGTTTTGGGGGTCTGGGGGCGAGGGGGGCACTCAATGGGAGATTGGTTTATTTTTGCAATAATAATTATTATTAATAATATTATGAATTGAATAGCAAATTTTTTAAAAAAAGTGTATATCTGAAATATATGTACAAACAAATGATTTAAAAACAGAGAGGGGGGGGGGGGGGGTTTGCACCTTAAAAATTACATAACCACACAAGTCACAGTGGGGCTTCCATGGTGTAGCAACTAGATGCTTGCCTGCGGATCAGCCTGGCAGGGAGCCAGACATTTTCAAAAATGACCTTGTCTCCCAGGTCAACCCAGCTGTGAGTGGGTACCAGGTACAGTCCTGGGAAGTAAAGGTGGCCGGCGTGATGCCAACCACATCACCCACCAAGTGCTGACTGGTCTATAAAACAAAGTTCTATCCCTACAAGTCTAATATCTCTGAAGGTGTGGACAACGGTTCTTTACTTTTAAAAGTCACAGTGGCAGACCCATTTTAAAAAAAATAAAAGTTAAATGTCTAGAGATAAAAGGTAATGAGGAAAGGATGCTACTGCCACACATATCTGGCCGAAAACATGTCAAGGCCAAAGAGCTCACATCATAACAGCAGTATCTCATACAGGACTACCTTTACCTCTTACTCTATCCACATTCCACTACAACATAATATATTCTGTCATATTTTAATGGCAACTGTTGGTTTTGGCACCTCTAGCAATCCTTTTATTCATTTACTACATATGCAAGTTTCTTGATTTTGCCAGGACTAATTGTTGGTTCCACGGTTTTTAAATGGAACGGTCAGGAGCATTTCATACTGGTACAGGATTAGAGCAACAGTGGGATGACCTATTAGCAATAAAGCTGAAACCTCTCTTCTTCTTCTTCTTTTTCATTTGGTTTCATATGCTTAGATCGGACCATCAGATAGGTTGCCTCTATGAACTCGCATGTCAGTAGCAGGTCCTTCATGGTCCTCATAGCTTGCTCTGTACACTTTGCTCTTGAGGTCAGGTGTCTTTTTGAAGTTGTATGTAGAGTGGGCAGGTCTGCAGAATGTTCTCAGGTGTTTGTGGTCCTGTTTGACAGGTACTCTGGGGGGGACTGTACAATCTTTATTGTATGCATGTGTTAGTTGAGCCCGCAGTGTTCTGTTCATAGATGGACAATTGTTCTAATTTGCTTTCTGTTGAGTTTGCTGATGGGGTCTTGTGGATGTTTACTGTTAATTTGTTCTCTCCACAATTTCTTGTATTTTCCTTTGATAAGTGTTCTGATTTCTGGTAATGACAATGGATGGGTGTGTTGTTTCTCCTTTGTTCCATTTTTAGAAAGTCTGTCTGCCAACTCAATTTCTGGTATGCAGCAGTGAGCCTGGATCCACCGGAGAACTATCTGATTGTTTTCTGCGAGTCTGTTTAGCTGGTGGGTCAGTTCTCTGTCCATGTTGTCTCATCGCTCTGAGTCGCCTGGAGGACTGACATGCAGTCACAAAGGAAAACAAATTTGCTGGGTTTTTTCCCGCTTCTTTCTTCAAGCAATTTGGCTGAAACCTCAACAACTGCAATAATAACTACAAAGTGAGCAGTACTTACTGTGGCAAGATTTGAACCTCTGGAGGTTTGCCCACACTGTTCTGCACCACCATCTGTGTTTTGGTCACTGCTTCAATCACATGGTTTGTACTAAAGATAAAATCTCCCTTTCTGGCAGCGACCACACCATTTTCCTTTTGAAGAAAAAAAGTTAATGAATCTGTTAACTCTTCAGTCAGTGAGGTTGAAGATATCTACAGACAGTTATCATAGTTGTCAGGTTGGAGAACTAGCGAAATGGCTCTTTATAATAATTTGAGAACTGCAGATAAGTGAGAAACTTCTAGAGATAAAGAGAAATGGTTCTAACATAGGTAGATTTAAACAAAACCTAGACAGATTAATGAGACATTTCTAAAAAAAAAAAAACTAGAGAAATGGTTCTATCATAGGTCATTGTTAGGATATATAGGCAGATAAATAAGAAATTACTGAAAAACTAGAGAAATGGTTCTAACATAGGAAGATGTATGGAATACCTAGGCATTTTAATCAGAATTTGCTTAAGTACTAGAAAAATGGTTCTATCATAGTTAAATGTATGGAAAACCTCAGTAAATTTATCAGACATTACTAGAGACCTAGAGAAATGGTTCTGTCAAAGGTGAATGTTAAGTACTTGGGTGAATTAATAAGAAATTACTAAACAACTAGAGAAATAGTTCTAACAAAGGTAAATGTTGAGAATACCTGGGAAGATTAATAAGAAATTACCAAAGAACTAGAGAAATGTCTCATATGGTAATTTCTGACTGATATTAGATAACATTAAGCAACACATTTAACATCAAGCATGCCTGGACAATCAATTCAATATACAGATTAGAAAACAGTTGTCTTTTAAAACTATATACTGTCTATTAACTTTTGGATCTGACCTCATGACTTGATTAATGTGGTCAAAGAAAAAAAGAAGAAAGAAGAAAGAGAGAGAGAGAGATAGAAAGAGAGAGAGAGAGAGAGAGAGAGAGAGAGAGAGAGAGAGAGAGAGAGAGAGAGAGAGAGAGAGAGAGAGAGAGAGAGAGAGAGAGAGAGAGAGAGAGAGAGAGAGAGAGAGAGAGAGAGAGAGAAAGAGAGACAGCAGAAAGGCAGACAGGCAGGCATTTGACGGAAAGATAAGACAGCAAAGACGCAGACAATGGCAACTTAAGTAGCAGCTATACTGTTTTAGAGTGCATCAACCAAAGATTTTCTCAAAGCCACAAGTACACAGTATTGCAGCCATAAGCACACCAAAAGCATGGCATGTACATTCAGGCATCGCTCTAATTCATCACAGACAAGAAGTCATCAAGACTGGGTCTAATCCTTTCAAACCAGATGCAGTATTTCCACAGAAAACACCCAAATTATGGCCATTAATGTTGGAGGTTCAATTGCTGAGTTGACTACTGTGCTAATAATATACAGTCTCCTAAACATATGACTAAGTTCCATTCTGACTAACAGTTTGTAAGTCAAATTGGTCATAAGTCACATTATTATTTTCATCATTTTTTTTTTTATTTAGGCTATAAACACTGTAAATCAAACACAAAAAATTCAGTCTCCGTACATAAAATTATTGTAAATAATGTGAAAAATACATAAAATGTAGTCAGTTCTGGAAACTTTTGACCCTACCAATGTCCTGTTTCTTTCTTTCATTACTATGCTTATTAAATTTTGTGTTTTTGTTTTTGTTGTGGTCGTAAATGCAGATGAAGTAAGACAAGGATTATGTGTACTGGAGATGGGCTTTAGGCTCCCATTTTGTCTATGGATGTGGTCTGTACTCTCTCATCTCAAGAAGGCTAAACCAAATCACTATCGGTCCTGGCACAGCCACATAAATGCTGATCTACTGCCACTTCTTCAGTGACCTGTTCTGGGAAAAGCTTAGTTAAATGCCACTGGTCGTGTGTGTGTGCACCTGAGTAGTGTTCAGGAGGCCCTGATGTGAATCTATTCACTAAATTTAGCTTTAGTGTGAGGTCCTTGTAAATACTATATATTTGTTTTAAAAATAAGGTTGACTTGAAAATTCTCCCGTAAGCCTCAGTGATACACATCATAAGAACATGGCATGAGACACCTGATACAAATTTGTTTCCAGCTTCTCTGTATTCCATTAATGCTTCACTATGTTCTTGTTTTCTGACTACGGCCTTCATATATCTTTACATATTTTAAAACAAAAATTTACAAAATGTGCACAAATAAATTTTAAACAAGTTTATTAGCTACCTGTGCAAAATAGTGGTTTTTAACCTATTTTTTCCACAAATTCCTATGAGTTCATGACCCATATTGTTTTTTTAGCATTTGCAGGTGGAAAAGGTTAATTTCACAGGTACTGCTTTTTTGAAGCTGGACTGATAGAGACATTTTATAGTTGTAAAAAGAAATCTAGTCCATGGCCATCGATACTGGTTTTTAAAAAAAAATGAAAACTTGTGGAAAAATCGGCTACAGATAACGGCTAAAAATAATGAACAGAAACAGCTTGGAAATATCAATTATTACTTCTGCTTTCTAAGTGTCTATGAGTTAACATATAATCAAAAACCATATAAAATATCATTCACAATAATAATGCTGCATCAATCACGAACACAAAGTTTATCATTCAAAAGCATAATGTATCATTACACAAAACAAAGTTCATTCAAAAGCATCCAGTGAAACATGCAAGTTGGAGCGAAAATTCATTGCAGCCATGCTTAACATGCTGTACACAAATAATAGCTATAACAGTGACATCCTAGGACAGAAGTGAGGTCTGACAAGCTCACACAATATAACAGTGACATCCTAGGACAGAAGTGAGGTCTGACAAGCTCACTCAATAATCTGAATACAGTAATGTTGGAGAAGATAGTGAAGTAGATAAAAAACCCTTTCACTGCTTGACATTATATTTTCGTTTTAGGCGGGGTCTCAACATTACTACCGAAGGGTCACCTTACAACTGGCCAGGGACCTGCAGAATCCGGGTCCAGAAATGGGGAATTTGCATCATGGCATGAAATATTATCTGTGTCAGAATTTACTGAAAGTCAGAAGTTTGTGCACAGACATGACTACCAATGCCACATGACAGTAACTATAAGAAGAAGAGAAAGAATGAATTCCTCTGGACCTGAAAAGATTTCATGAAAGCTGCAATATACACAAGGAAACAAAACAACAGTATGATTGGTAAACAATTATCATTATGTACAGAAACATCACATCAGCTGCAACAGTGAAATCAAACAAAAAACATGAAACATCAAAGCAACTCAATTATCTCAGGATTCTCATATTTCTTCCTTCATAGTTCTTTCTTCATAGTTCTTTAATTCAAACAAGCAGACTTCAAAATCTGTTCCAAACTTGTTGGCTACTGTCCATCTAAGCACATTCAAACATTTAACTAGTATTAAGAGGATCATTTATAGACACAGGCATAAATCTACTTCTAATCCTGACATTTTCTTTCAGCTGTAAAATTTATAAACACCAAGAAAATTTAAATTAAAAAACTTTTGTAGATTAATTCTTTAAAAAAAATTTCTTGTTTATCTCAATAATAAAATTCAAAATACATTAACAACTGTTTAAACTAAACAAATGTTTTACAAACCATTACTGATCTACTTACAGATTATGTTATGTTAACTATTTCTGTCCTAGTATGTGGTGTATTTAACACAACATTGTTTTTAAGATGTGAGTATTGACATTATTGTATGTGACTTCGTTTCTCTTTGCATAGTGTCTAATCGCCTGCCAAGAGGTCTGTACAAAGAGTGAAATGGACAAAGCCTGAAGCTTAACTCATGACCTTTCAAAGTACAATACACATGGCTTAATAACCTGCTACAGAGACTCCCTTCCCCCTCATAATATGAGACTGACTCAATGACTTAAAATCCCATCCATCAAACATTTTTTTTTAACTTTAAAAAAAAAAAATTTTGTCAGAGTAAACTAAAAAAATCTGGCCACTACTTTTTAAGCCTCCTTGAAGTAAGTAATACAGCCATGATCTACATTGTGGTTATTTTTAATCACTGGATATTGTTCACAAACTCTGGGACTGAAAAACTTATTGAAAGAAATGTGAAAACCAATCAATGAAAATCTTCTTGAAATAATAGTCAAATAATAGTTCTTTAAAATATAATTCTGCAAAATATACTTATAAAACACACCTTATCTGAATAGCTTTACCAGAAAAAAAAAAACTTTTTTAAAACAATGTTCCAATAAAACTATAAAATGTTTATTATTTCTGTGAGCAGAGAACTTCTAACAACAAAAGCACATAAATAACAAATCAATGGCAGCACGAAAATCTTTGTGACGTCGATCTCTAAACTGAAAATTGCAAAAATTCAACAAAAGAAAAGTTGAACACCGGAAAGGACGAAGCGATTGATTGAAAAACCCATCACTCACAAACTCATTTACACCTCCATCTCCACCTTGCTCATTACTTTCATCATCTTCTGTCACTTCCTTCAGAGAGAAAACATAATTGGGGATGACAGTAAAGTCTGATTACGCTCATGATCAAATATCTCGGGTGTGAAATAAAGTTTAATTCCTGTTCTTTTTCATGTTTCGTTCAAAGATTAGTGGCGACAAATGGAACAATTTATTTTTAAAAAAACACACATGGTACATTAATCAGTTCATATACTGCATTGATACAAATTTATGCAGTATGCACAATATACGTGTCTGTGACAATAATTTATAAAGAAAGCCAACTGTCCAAAAAGCAACAGCAAACTACTGGACGTAAATTTGCCTAGAAAAACCCACACAACAGCCAGGGGCTGTTTGGGTTGGTTCTGCAACGTCCTGTAAAGGATACGCAATTAACCTTCTATATATATGTATATATATATATATATTCAGGGTGGGCCATATTGATGGCACACATTTATTTTTGTATTACTGCAAGAAATAACTGTCATATATGTATGTGTGTACGTACGTACATGCCACGCACAGCACACACACACATAGTCTATTTGCATCATCTATAAGAGAAAAACCTTTTGAAAACACAACAGAGACATGTATTTTCACTCAAAACATTTAACAGGGACTTAACAAGAAAGCGGCAGGGGGAAATAATTGTTACAAATAACCAGTCTAG